ATATTAACGAAAACACTACTATTCATACTAATGGTGAATGTTTCCGTTAACCGTTAATATCATTCAAGAACATTGACATTAATATTAATGATTAATGAAAACATTAATTTAAAAATTAATGAAAACATTAATTTAAAAATTAATGTTAATGGCCCACCCCTACTTGCAAGTACACTATTATAAGAAGAAGAAAGTCTTCTATGTTTTTACAAAATAATTATGACTTACAGAATATTATTACATTTTTACTCAACATTCTAGGATGGCTATGTATCAAACAAGATTGACACCAATACTTCCACATAAAACTGCTATCTTGTTGGTTGATGTACAAAATAGTGAAATAAGTATGGAACATCAACAGAAAACACCCTGGTACTATCAGCAAATAACTGAAATTTGCATACCAAATATGATTCACCTGCTGGAAATAGGACGCCAATTGGGTATCGAAATTATGTATACCACTATTGAAAGTCTCACTCGGAATGGTCGAGATCGAAGTCTTGATCATAAGTTATCAAATATCTTTATTCCAAAAGGATCATTTGAAGCTAATGTTATTAGCAGTGTTGCACCTCGAGAAGATGATATTTGGCTGAAGAAGACAAGCTCTGGTGTATTCAATTCTACTAATATTGACTATGTATTGAGAAATCTTGATGTTGAATTTCTTGTGATTGTGGGCTTCTTAACAGATCAATGTGTCGATATGGCTGTACGCGACGCTGCTGACAAAGGTTATCAAGTCATTTGCATTTCAGATGCGTGCACAACTCATACTCAAGAACGTCATGAAAATGCTTTACGTGCTTTTGGTGGTTACTGTCGTATTATGACTACAGCTGAGTTTGTACAAGAAGTTCAACGTATGTAAACTTGTGCGATGCGAAGCAAATCAAATATAAATAATCGTGATTTTTTCACAGATAAAAAGCAGTATAATAATGGTCAACAGAAGAATTTATCATTATCTATTTCTTCGTCACTTCAACCAACCAAACTGACAATGATAGTCACCACCGATCTTACTGGAATTACACGTGGTCGAGCAGTACCAACAGAATGTATCGATGACTATTGGAGTACTGGATGTGGCTGGGTACCTGCAAACAGTGCTCTGACGCCACAAGACATCATTGCTGATTCAAATCCATGGGGTTCACATGGTGATCTACGTTTGTTACCTGATCGCATTAGTCGAGTTCGAATCAAGAATGGACCAGACTCAAAAGCACCGATACTTGACTTTATTCACTCTGACATTATCGAAACCGATGGTAAAGGTTGGGACAGCTGCCCACGTCGACTACTTCGACAAGAAATTCAACGGTACCATGATTTGCTTGGTATGAAAATTAAAGCAGCTTTTGAACATGAATTTATCTTGATTGGACGACAGTCTATGAGTGATTTACCAGCATTCTCGTTAAGAGCTCATCGTCATGTGGCTGACTTTGCTGAATGGTTAGTTGCTGCCCTACAATCAGCAGATATCGAACCAGAAATGTTTCTGCCTGAATATGGTCGCAATCAGTACGAAATTACTTGTCGACCTACTGATGGAGTTGCCGCTGCTGATCGTGCTGTTAATGTACGGGAAATTACACGTGACATAGCTCGGCAAATGAGCTTACATGCAAGTTTTTCACCACAGCCACATGTCGGTGCAACTAGCAGTGGTGTGCATTTGCATCTAAGTATTCAAGATCTTGATGGAAAGTCAATAATGTATGAAAAGGGGCGTCGTTATGATTTGTCGGAACTTGGCGAGCATTGGGCAGCTGGTGTACTGCATCATTTACCTGCACTGTGTGCACTCACTGCACCGACGCCAGTTTCTTACATGCGATTAAAGCCACATCACTGGAGCTCGGCTTATGCGTGTCTGGGCTATCGAAATCGGGAAGCCGCCATACGTATTTGTCCTACTGTGAGTCTTGGATATCGATCGATTGCTGATCAATACAATTTAGAGTATCGTCCATTAGATGCTACGGCTAGTCCACATTTGAGTTTGGCTGCCATACTAATTGCTGGCAGGCTTGGTATTCAACAAAAATTGAGCTTAAAAGCAGTAACCGACATTGATCCTCATGAATTGAGTGACGATGAGCGCAAAAATCGTAGTATCACTAGTTTACCATCGAATCTCTTTGATGCTTTAAACATGCTAACGAACGATAACGATTTCATCCAAGAATTACCAAAGTCCCTGATCGATACATATTTAGCAATGAAAACACATGAGCTAAAAATAACTCGTGAACTCACTGAAAAAGCACTCTGCGAGCAATATGCTCGTATTTACTAATATGTTCAACTAAACTAAATAGATTATTCATCTTTTTCTATGTATACATATTTTTGATATAGTTTTAATTTATTTTCTATCTCTAATTAATTGATAGTCATGAAAAATACTAGCCTATAATTCAATACTGATTTGTCACAAGAATATTGACTTGCAATAATGTAAAATGTTTTTCCTTCTAAAATTGTATATATGATATAAAAACATCTAAATTTTCCCGTCAATACACTGTTCAGTTAGGAACACAGGTTTGACGACAGTCGAATCATTAAAATCCAGAGAATTTTTAATTAATCCTAATATATGAGTGTGGGTGTGAGTGTGAGTTTGAAGTTTATACTGATTCAGCATTAACAAACATAGCGATGGCTAGGATACCTTTCAAGTTAATAGTATCAACTGAAGTTTCAGTTTTCAATATGAATAATTGAAAATCAACGATGGTTTGATTAAATTTAGATGGTAACATATATTTTTTGAAGTTTTCATCAATTCGTCGCGAATAGATATCTGTGACTATGGTTCACGGTGACTGAGACTTTGTGTTATAGCGTAGTGAATAACTCGATGATGAGGAGAGTATCACAGATACTTGTATCCGTAGACCTATTGAAAAGCAGAGTGCGCTCTCAAGACGATAGATTTCAAATATTGTGTTCGTCTGTGTATGCTTTTAAGCGATATGATGAGAGAAAGGTGGAGTTTTGAATTTTCTAGTTTAACAATAGAATAATTGTAATGGACAGATTTTTATAAAGTATCCTAAATGTGATTGTTAAAGAAGTGCAATCCAATTCGTCATCACTAATCACTGGGTATCTAATATAAGCAGTCAAGGTGCACTAATGAACATTCAAGTTTTGCTGCATAAAAAAATTACTTCAAGGAAAAGATAATTCTAGTTCTAAAAATTTCATAATCATGCTACACGTGCAATATAAAAACATCCAATATTGTGTATCTGATGTTCTTGAAGATGGTTGACCCGAATTTTGTCGAATGCTACTACATATCGATCAACACTAGATTAATATAGAGGAGAAATATTCGATCACAGATCATTTGAATTGCTTCCTTGAAGTGCATCAAGTGTTGATTGTTGAGCTTAGTATTCCAAAACGTTTATTAGACTCATCATTTGTCCTAATACAAACAAGTGAGTACAGAGTTTTCCAAGATATACTAAAATTTTACTTCAACTTGTTCGAAACGATTGCCATTTAAGCTTTCCACTAAGAGAACATCGTAAACAACAATCAAAAACTTTCTGTTTTACAAGTGACTTCCTTAACCATTGCTGACTCGGCTCTTGTTGATTCAAATAAAATACTTCTGAAATACGATTTTCGCATATAAATAATATCGACCATTTATCAAGTTCCACATGATTATTGAATTTGGGAAGAAAATACATACTAAAATAAATGGCTCTATGTTATATTTCAAATAAAGGATCTCAATATAGCGGATTGAAACTAAATCTAGGCATATATATGAGTACATTAAACATCATAAATAAAAATAAAAATGTTAGTCTTGTAACATCTATGAAGGTTAACATAGAAATATCTTATTGAATTTCTCACTGAAAGTATGTTGGATAGTGAAACATCTCCAATCAAAATATAAGAATATGCTTTAAAAAACATGTGGATTAACAACAAATTTCATTGTATTATTATTCATACTTGAAATGGATTTTTCCTTTAGCATAGTGTCATAAAAATATGGGCCGTCAATTGAAGTAAGTTATTTGTTTTTTTGTCGCTTTCGAAGTAAAGAATCGGACGAGAATGACAAACAGACAGCGACAATCAACAATGAGAACCAAAGGCAGTCTACTTGTATATTACCGAACAATATAATATTTCATCATATTGTGCCTATTCTCGCACATTAGAATGTATATGTACCTAATGTGAGTATTTTTCTAGAGCAATGCGTTGGCTTGTTTACTGAAATATAAGAACAAATTTCAGCAAGTACATTGTCATGTTGACGATATATTGTTTTCAAAGCACTACTATCAAAGGATGTTACTTCTTTTAACGATTTTTTATTTGATTACTTTAACTTAACGACGGGCAGAGTTGACATGTAAAAAAGCTTTTTAGAGCTTGACTATAGCAGGATCTTTTGGCGCATCGGATCCCAGAGTAGGATAAAATCGGATAGTATCAGATTCCGACGGAATCTGTTGGTTCTTGTCGGTTTTCATGTAAGATCCGATTGGATCCGATTGCAGAAAAGAACGACCTGAGATAATATGAATAGTACATTCTATTGTCGATAGTTGCCTTACGTCGATCGATTCGTAACAACAGATATGACCACTATATGAAGTAATTATTTTGTGCATTTTACAGGAACTTCGTTTTTCTCACATTGATTATCAGAACAGAATAAATGTATATTTCCTGATGAAGTAACAAAATATATGTTGATAATTTTTCTGAAGATTTCTAGAGACTAATTTCACAGTGTATTCATGCTCTTTAATGTCAAGCAATAAGAAACATAATTCATTATTATACACACATGCTATGAAAAAGTCATCGAATTGTAAGAGTTTCAGTTTAAATCTTGTTCTGGATCATTCAATAGAGTCCACATGTACTGCTTCAGTACTTCAGATTTGTCTAGTTCTCACCAGAAAAAGTTCACTGAGCCGCATGGTAATTCTTCTCAACGATTTTAATTTTTCTGGCACAACAACTACCATTCCATACGATTCATGTCAGTTACTTTATACTGAAACGATTGAATACATTCAATGAATTTTAACTTTAGGTAATCAACTCCGTTGGAATCAAACGAGTGAGCTAGTGGCAGGTAGTTTAAAAGGTGCTACCGCTACTCAATTTGATAAAGCTGAATGCTTGTTTATCGATGAGAACAACACACTCTATATTTGTGACAACGAGAATGATCGCGTCCTGCGATGGATTGAAGTTGCTGATACAGGTGGAACTGCACTTCCACGCCCAGGGCATCTTACTTTTGACAAGTTTGGAAGCGTGTATGTTGCCATCCGTGCCACTAATATAGTCTTACGTTTTGTTCTCACTTCATTTTTTGGAACCACAGTTGCTGGAAGTAGTACTTCAGGAAATGAAAATAATGAGCTTCATGAATCAATAGATATAATTGATGATGATGATTTGAATATTTATGTCGTTGATTCAAAAAATGAACTCTTGATGAAATGGCCTTGCAGTGCAACAATGGATTTTCTTATGATTAGTAATCTATATAGTGACGAAGTAGTTGTAATGATATTTGCTCCGAATTCAACAGATGCATTTTACTTTAGTGATAAGCAAAACGGTTGAATGTATTTGCGGTCGTTTGGTCAATCAGTACCGAGTTTAATTCTTAAAGAAGTCAATACTTCTACAGCTACTCTCCAAGAACCGCATGATCTTGCTAACGATCCGTATAATAATCTGTATGTTGCCGACAAACTTAATAATCGAGTAGTAATGTTGTGTGCTGGTTCAATCGTGGGTATTTCTGTAGTTAAAGGAAATAGCCCTCCAGTTGCTCCCACGGTACCAAACGATGTTGCATTTGACTGGAACCTCAATTTGTATGTGGACCTTTTAGATGACAAAGTAATGAAGTACACACGGTTGTGATTTCACGGTGTATGAATATTCCTTAGACTGACAGGATAGGGCCTAGAAGCCGTAATTCACCTGTGTCTATCTGTAACAATGACACAAACGACCAATTCTCATGGTACAAATGACCATTTTTATGACGCAAATCATGGGCGGATGCATGACATGGTTACGTGAAACAGTCCGATCTGGAGATGGGTTCAGTGGAGTGGACGAGCTGATCCCTCTACGGAACTTTGAGCTAACCATCACGAAATTTCTGAACCATATATTTTTGTGGCTAGGTATGATTCAGCCTCTTCCCTCCTTAAGGACCTTTGAGTCCCATTTTGTCCGTCTTTCGTCTTCACTTTCAGTGCTTTTACTGGAGACCTTTAATTTTAGGCTAATTCTTATCTCAGTTTCATTTTTTCCCACTCCCTTTACAGGTCTGTTTGAAAGTACCATCACCCGCTGCTGGCACAAACAATCGATTTTCTGTCATGTCCATGCATTTGTTTTCCTCATCATTGTCAGTCTGGGGCCCAGTGAATCGACTTTCGATGTCGATGAACGTTACTTGTTATATATACCCACAGAATATAGAGAAACTTGTGTTAAAAGGTTTTTAATTGAACTTCGACTTCTCCTTTAACAAAAACTAAGTTAGCAAAATTTCACCAACAGAATAATGACTTAAACGCACACAAACAGTAGCCATAACCATAAGGCGCACGCTCAATATAATCGACTAATTTTTCAGAATTGAAATTGATCACCACTCTGTTAAAATAGGTGTGAATCATTTTATGTAACGGATTTTAATTAAAAACATCTACTGTGTGATTTCACTTTAATATCAAGAGTAAAATGATTAAGCGACTGGCAAAGCAAATAGTATTTTATATTGATTTTTTATATCAAAGAAATGTTAACTCAACAAATACTGGCAGTAGTCCCTATAAATTCCAAAAACCGTCTAGCATTGATTATCAAACCTCTTCAAAATCTATCAAACTATAGTTTTTAAATTCGTAGACGAAGTCTTTGCATTTTCAAGCCTTTTTTAATTGTACAGCTGACTAGTGAAGTCATAATCATATTCCTTCTATAAAATTTTCAGCTTCACATTTAAGATAAGGTATGTGGTATAAGACTGCTAATAATGCCCACACATCTGCCGTTTGTTCTACATCATAGTAAGCTAAGCAAGAGCCGTCATAAAAATAATAGAATTGAACAGATAACTGTAACAATCAATATGTCTCTGGTTGGGGTTGATACGTAAATACAAATTGGATAGAGGTGGAGTAGCTTCTCGCCACTCTCGGAAATGATATTTATTCGCTTCTTCACATATCCAGAGGGTAACAACTTTATACATAACACACGTATATATAGGAGAAAGACAGGAGAGAGAGATATTAGAACAAATGGAAAGAGAATAGAATGAGGAGGAAGGAGAATCATCGAAGCGTGCCATCAATATCGACACAATAACTAGAAAGGAAAAGTTTATGTTTGAATACTTTTTGTCCCGTTACATCACGGTAGTAGCGATGTATATCTTATGGTTCTCTATTATGCAGAGTCATCTAGTCTTTGACTATCTTTCCTAATAATAGATTGAGTTTTTCTAAACAATGAGTTTCAATTCATTCAATACACAAGTGCCATTCTAAATATAAACGACATCTTTTAGAATTTCTCATTGCGCTGCGTGTTTTAAGCCTGCTAGTGGTTATTTCAAAAACATTTTATTCATGTATAAGCAGTTAAGCAAGAAGAGTCAGCAAAAGCGAATTTACATGTAATTTGAAAATATTTGTAAATTGAATGTTCTTAGCGAACTAGCAGTGATAAAACAGCACCAATCAAATTCATAGCCACAGCCAGTATAGTTAATATCGCGCCCACACTCACCGATTTCTTTATCGGAAGTCCGCCATTATCAGTAGCAAAAACGATACCTAATGCAATACCAATAACACCCGTTACTAAAGAACTAAATGTAAGAATCTTGCTTATGATAAGCACCTTCTGATACTTATTTATACTTTGTAGTATATATGCGAAGAGACATACGGCTGATGCTCCTGATATAATACAAGCGATGGTGACAAATGCTCGTGCCGCCATCATTTTCTGGCATAAAGGCAATGATTCGCCATTTCGTAACGTGCACGACGAGAGAAGATTACTGCATGCCGTTAACTGTAGGATTGAAGCACAACCTCGCCATAGACCAATCGTCACTTGAGTTTCATCTGATGTTGTTTGATCTTTCACTGAAATATCATACTGTGTTAACATGTTGTATAGTAAATTAATCTGTGCTGAATCAAGTTTTGCTGAGCTCCTAAAAACAAACACGAGCATATTTCATTTTAAATAACTCTTAGTATTTTGCGATAGCAATTGTATGAGTTGGGGATCGATATTGGGAGAGTATGAATATTTATGTAAATATTGACTCGTTCCTTTTTCCATCACTATGTATATTTTAAGAAATATTTTGATTGTTAAATTCATGAGAATGAGTTCAAAAATTTTCATTTCAATAGTTGCTGATAAAGAATATCGTGTAGGTGCACTCAACAAGGTAATTCAATATATATCTTCTTTTTGGTTTTATTAATGTGAGACAATGCAAAGAACCTTTTAGTACTGTTTTCTGCTAGTATTCGTCTAACTGAAAGAATTTTTATATACAGGATGGTTCATAAATAACTACACGATAAGAAATGAAAAAATCGTTGCCATATGCTAATTCAACATGATCAATTTTAGTCAATAATAGAGATATATTCAACTTTTTGTCATATGTAAGGTAAGCACCAGCTTACTGTTTTGAGTTTAGGCGACCAACGTCATTACTTGTGCAAAAATAATTTTGAACATGTCAGTATTATTCACCAAAACTTCACCAAGTTTGGTTGGCATACGGTAGTGACTTTTAGATCTCTTATCGTCTAGTTATTCATAGACCATCGTATACAGACACGTTTCTCTTGAATCAATCTTAATTAACGATTTCATGTGCCCATCATACGACAAAGTTCATAGAAAAATTTTGTTCATCATACGAAATCAAATCTAATAGCATAATTGTTTAAATTACGACTATTAATTATATCTCTTACTGAAAAAAGAATCAGGGATGCTTTTGCGTTTTTATTGATCATTATGAATCTTGTTAGATAATAGGAAAGTTCACCTTCATTGTGACTAAATTATTGGAAATCAAAATGCAACACTGTTTCGACAAAGTAAATTTTATTTTCCAGTACAGATCTGTTAGACACCAAAAATGAGAAAAATGTTCTCTCTTGTCTTTTTACTCAACGCATAAAAGAAATGCTAAATTACATACCACGACGGTAAAGCATTGCCAACAATAAAGAGTATGCAAGCCAAAGTCATGGCACTACCACTGGCAATAATCAGTACTCGTTTGTCTAATACCATTTTTTTTTAAATTTTGCTTCTAACAATAAAAAATGCTCTCTTTGATATTCGATGTGTTTTTTAGTTAAATTTCTATCGATGCAGATAAATTCACCTTTCTATTCTCATTAATAATAAACTAGTGAATATTTCTAACAACAAATATTATTTCAAGTATTTTCTGTGCTGACATAAAGTTAACAGGAAAAAAGAGATTGTGCCTACATCAATAAAAACCTAATATGTGAACATGATTGTAGTTATAAATAGGACTAGCAAGCTGACACGCATATCTATATTGTAAAAATTGTACCCTGTGATCGATTTAAAATGTTGGAAACGTTTTATTGAAAATATCTGGATCGAACAATGACCTTGAGAATACGTGTTCTTTGTTAGGAAGGTCTTTGGTAGATATTTCGATCTCGCGATTTAACCTCTTTTTTTTCTAATAGTAAAAAGAACTTAAAATAAGTACAGCTATTAATCCTTGTGTAGCGAGGGTTACCGATTTAGTTATGTCATGCGCACACACCATCATGATTCATAAGAATATAAGTGTACTATAGTGAACGACTATGTTTGAAGAGAATTTCATTGTTATATAAATACAACATGACTTAAAATTTATTTATACCAAATGTTTTCTATTTCAAACTATGTTTTTTTCTACTGATACAGTTGATTAAAATGCATCGTTTTTTTTTCTCAAAATATAATAATAGATAACCATCCAGCAATAAGAAGAAGACCACCGTAGGGTGTTACAAGACGAAATCTTGGATCGTTACGAATAGCATGAAAATACATTGGGCCACAAAAAAATGCTAAACCACTTAGAAATAAAGAACCGGTTAAAATTGGTCGAGAAACTAATGGTAGAGCAAGTAAAGCTACTGAATGAAGTAGATGATATGTTTGTGCCATTTGAAACAACTAAATTAATAAAAACAAATGCATAAAGGACTAAAATAAAATTATGTGCTAAGCTTACACGTCTAAGTTCTTCTTGATTGTTATCTTTCAATACATGAGCACCGTAGACACCTAGACATATGGCCAAAGTACCCGATAAACCAGCACAACGAACAAAATTTTTCGCAACTGGAGATAGATTTAAACCCGAAATAATGGATTTCGTTGACACTACTGGTGGTGGTGGTGGTGGTGTTGGATGAAGTGGTTTAACTCTACGTAAAGAGAATGGAATATTTTTATTTATAATTTTTATAAGTCACTCTAACCCAATTGATTTAAAAAAACTATCCGTCCACCGTGCAACATCTCGAATAATTGGTGAATCCATAGATATATATGATCAGAAAAATAGATTTCAAAAATCTGTAAAATATGCCAAAATGACAATACATTTATGCGATTGGTCATTTTATTTTTTTTGGTAGATTGAACAAAAACTTATATATTTTTTTTCTTTAATTAAAAAACAAAATACATAATGCAATAAATTAAAATATCGTTATGACTGTGGCCGTTGGCGCGACGACTTCCATTGTTCTATCGCTTGTTTTAACTCCAGTTGTGGGATAACATCTTGCATACGTAATGGATTCCGATTGAACGGATCTGTTTGATCACTATTTTGAATAGAAATATTAAATTAGGCTCCACAAAAATTCTATCAATTTTTTATACCTGAGAAGGTGCCGAGCAATAGTTCCACGATCAACGATTTGTCGAGAACTCGGTAACATGACAGGGTCCATCATGAGAGTACTTGTGATAGGATCAAGATATTCGTCTGGTGCATCATCATATGCAACATCATCTTCTTTTTGTTGTGCAGCAATAATCTATTCAAAAGTCATTTTAAAAATGTGCATTCTGACTCGATAGGAAATTAGATTGGATTTGTTTTGTTTTATTCGAAGCCACTTTTTAACCAATATCAGCTTTGGTTTTTGATTACTCTTGGAAATAAAAGGGACTGAATTTTAACAGATAGTGTATAGTCCCGTCTAATCAAAGAACATAAATATCGATTTTCATATACACGAGTTACTGATTGGCTACATGTATAGGATATTTCACGTATTCGATTACTTCATTTTATTTTTACGGAATTTAACAATGAAAAGTTCTATCGGTGTCTTCCTAATAACAAAATAGAAATGGATATGTGATACAAAGGCATTCATGCTATAGATTAAGTAATCGTACTTCTTGATCTTTTCACCATGAAAGATGAACACAATCCGTTACTTACTTTAATATGTTCACTTAGTTTAAGAAATGCATTGATTCGCTCTCTTGGATGTCCAATACGTTCAAGTACTTCGACCGCTTGCGGAAATAATTGTTCATTATACGACCTTGAAATAACAAAAAATAGTTTCGAGTTATTTTTTGTTTTGTTTTTCTTTTTTTGCTTCTGATATTTCTTACATTCCATCATTACAAACAGCAGCAAAAAATTCATCACGTTGAGCGAAATTTAAATAGATGTCTGTTACTTTAGCAACCAGTTTCTGAGGTTCAAATTGATATTCGTTTAAATTTCGTACTTTTAAATTACCTCTCTTCGGTCCAACCTATAAAATTAGCCAATGAAAACAAAACCAATATGGAAATCAAAAAATGCAAACCAAATGTTGAAGAAAATAATTAAGCATTAAAGCAAGCCTTTCACATATAGCTGGTTGACAAAATATTGACTGAATACTTCGTGTTAACATATCAAGAATAATCAGCTAAAAATAAAAATAATCTTCGCGTAAGAGATATATCATTGTATTTACCGTTTTAACACCCATGATATTTGTAAAACGAGCTATTTGGCCGGTATGCCGAAATGTATTTTCTAAGTCTCGTCTTTGTTGTTGCGGTAAACTATTCCATTCACCACGATCCATTGCTTCTTGATTTTCCTTTAAACGTGCCATTTGCTGAATTAAAATAAAAGCTATAAAAATTCAATCATCAATATTTCTACGATAATTACCGATAATGCTTCATCTAGTAGAAAATTCGCATCATTCATAAGTAGATTAATAAAGCGTAAGACCAATGGAGCTTCAGCATCATCAATATGTTCTTCCGCATAGGCTGTAAGTTTCTAGAACCAAATAAATTTTGGTTTCGGTTATATCTAAAGCAAAACAAATGACGAACTTTGACTTGTTCTCGGTGTTTATCAAATTTCCAAAAGTAATCTAAGATTTCATACATCGGACGACGATAATTAAATTTTTGTTCGAATGCTACTGCTTGTCCAGTTAATTCAATTGAAACGAATACATCGAGAAGAACACGCGGCAAATGTTCGATTAACGGATGATGCATAAAAATAGCCTCGGCAAATGAACTAATCAAATTTGAAAGTAAAATTATTCAGAAAAACAAAACGACTCAGTCAAATCTACCTGTTTAGGGTTCGTCCGCCGCCATGTTGTTTATTTGGTAGAATAGCTTCGAATGCTTCAGCTAGTGCAGCGCGTAAATGAGGATTACGTAAACGACTTGCATCACCCATAAATACAAGAACGAGAGTTACATATTCATTCACAGATGAGAGAGACTTTGAAAAATGAAATATCGAAATTTAACTACTGAAAAGAAGAATGAAAATTGTTACTTCAAATAATTGTACATTGAATCGACCAAGAAAGGTGAGGTAATCTGTTATATTTTCTATGATAAACTCAGGAATATAGCTTAATTGACGATTTGGTTTTGTTGCTAATGGTAATTGTCGAATCATTTTCATTGTTTCTTCGCTATCAACTTCCTCGGGTAGCGATGCAAGATAAACAAGCCACGAACAACTGGCCGTGAATAGAGCATTGGATAATTCGAGTAAACAAGGTTCATTTAGAACAGTTTTTATGTTAAGAAAAGCAGTAAGACCTGAAAGTAAAATACATATGAAAATATTGACTTTCTCTATCAGCAGATTCGATAGAGCCACGAATGAAGTTAACGTTTAGCTGTTCTATGAGCTTTACAGGAATTTTCACTAATAAGTACTAGTTAATAAATATCCATTTTTCAAAGATATAACACTTGTAGCTTGACTAAATCTCGGCATTATGTTGATGTGGTGGAAAATTTACTTGTTAAAACATACTGGAGGATTCCGAGTGGGTGAGATTTCGTTGCGTAAGCTTCCTGTTAGGTAAGCAGAACAAAAAAAAAGTACTCAGTTCCCTCTTGCCATAGCGTCAATGATAAAAAAGAAAATGTCACGCGACATAGCTCCGGATAGATTCCAACACACTATCCCATCCGTAGTTTTCACAGACCAATAATACTATCTTCGGGCAAGCATGCATCATGTATAACTTTTACAGATGAAATAAAATCTATCGAAGAATGGCAATCTCATTCTAAACCGTGCTTAAATTCCTACCTTTTTCCATGGCTTGTTCTAATCTTTGTACATTCTCATCATTAGGTCCATTCAATTTACTAGCCTCTTGATATGCTTGTTGCACCTGTGACAATTCTTCATTAATCTAAATAAAATTTGAAAAAACGTTTTCCCCATGAATCTTCGTTTCGTATCGTCTTACTTTTAATAGCATTCGATGAAGTCTATATACTGACGATGTATAGCTAAGATGTGACATGAAAAATATTTCGGTGATAAAGTTAAATGCTGTTTGATCATTTTTTTCCTTGACGTTTTCATCATTGCGAACAATCATTGGTGTATCTTTATGAAGGTCTATAAAAGAAAAACAAATGTATAAATCTCCAACTAAGAAAAAACGTTCATACCTCTTAAATGAACATTTTCATTTTGAGTTATTGCATAAATCGGATTAATTTTTAATAATTTTGGTGAATAAGGTTCAGCAAAGGGTCGTGCAAGATTGAGTAAAACAAGATTCAAATTCAATAAAAATCCATCACTAACAAACAAATACGCAGTTAAAGGATTATGTGATGACCATTCTTTATTTTTGCCTTAAAATAAATACCCAGATGTGTCATAGATTATTAATCAAGTATATAATTTACCTCGATTTTCGACTAAACAATCGCCAATCCATTTTAGTATATCATTACGTACATCAGCATTTTTCACGAAAGCCAAAAATAAACTTGATAAATTCTGTTGATATGCTCGCATCGGCTGAAATTAAATTAAATTATTTTTTTTATCAATCCCCTCAAAATAGGAAGATCTAAGCTTTCCGACTGGTATATTCATCGTGTTTTCCGGAGGGATCACATCAGACTTTTCAAAGCTGTAAGACACTGAAAAAAGGCTTTCAATTGCCTGTAGCTCGTGTGACGGGTATTAATTTTATTCAAACGTATTCGATCTATTCAAATGGTAAAATATGATCTACTGAACTTTGTTATTGTTTAGATCTCTTGCGTTACAGCATAAATTCAATTCATGACACTTACTTGCCACATTGAATTCGCTGTTAATTCAACATCACGTTCGCTCATGACTTTTGGTTTTTCAAAGAATAAATAAGGTTTTTCAGGTTGCGACGGTAAACATGATTTTGAAAGAAGACTACCAACTAATGTATCTTCATATGCTCGACCATTTGTTGCTGCTCCACGAGGGTTTTGTACAGGACGATTCGATGCTGTTTTCGGATGAGACAATCGAAAGATAATCTTAAGAGAGAAAAACTAATGTTTTATTCTTTGCAATATATCAACATACGCGAACAAGCGCTGGCCATTTTGATAAATGAGTCAATATTCCCGTATATGCTATAAGTTCCGTAGAAAAATAATCGAGTGGTTGAATCATTTTATACATATGACGAAAGACAGAAGTATAAAGACTTTCCATTTCATCGGTTAGTGGCGATAGAGAATCATTATTAACACAATCGATGAATTCATAGATTTGTGAATTTTCTAAATTTTCAAAAAAGTTTTCTATTTATGAAATAAATAAAACTCTACCTTGACCATCAATCAATAATTCTAACCATTGTTTGGATAGATCTTGACCTTCGTAGAGGTCTGGTAAACTTATTGCTGTTTTTGAGAGATCAATAAATAATTTTCGAATATCATCGAATATTAATTTAAAATGATCCTATAAATTAAATCGATATTTTTACATCAGACGCTAAGTTAAATGAGAAAAGAAACACTTACGCGTTGTCGCAATAATCTTTGATAACATCCAGCTAAATAATGTAAACAACGATTTTCCGTTATACTGTTCAAATCATTTTTAACAGTTGAATTTTTTGTTGCTGGCATTAATAATTGACTTGCAGAATCTGTCATACGAAGACGTTCGAATAAAGCTTGATCAATAAAATTCTTATCCAAAGTTTGAGGTACGCATGCAGCTAATTCAGCTAAATAGATAAGCGATGATGATGGTTGTTCATCGATGGTACATAGAAGAACATAGTCAAAAATGTCTTTATAAATATTAGAAGTTGGCGAAGAATCATTGCTAGTCGATACTACTTTTGAAGACGATGTTGAAAATGAATTTGACGTAGTTGAAGACGAGTCGGATAGAAATAAAAACGGATTCGACATAGCTGATTTTGATTTAAGAAACGAATGAATAATAAGACTGCTGACGATGAGTTACACGAAGAAGAAAACAGAACTAGCGTTTTGATTCGTTTAATACGGGCTTTAAAGTACTTGAGATTTCCAACGAAAAAAAGATGTCACTAGAGTATTGCCAAGAGATCTGCCTCGACTGGAACAGATAATATTATTAGCCATCTCTTGAAATTTCTAGAGCTTCTGCATTTGAATTATTTCAGATACGTAAATCATCATTATTTTTCATATGAACTGTTAGCTTTAACTTATTTGTATTAGTGAATAAATAGACAAAAGCTCCTGGCTTGTTACTTTACTATAGACTCGAAGGAAAATAAAACATGCTATTTTTTCAGTCACGACCATTGTGAAAAGTGCATGCAGCAAATTCAATATAGTCTACAAGCACAATAAATCCTCTTATCTCGTATCCTTGAATATTTTCCTTATTAAAAGCGTTGTTTATGAGTTACAAAGTCTATTATTCAATGAAATTTGTCATGTAAATTGGATTCACTTCAATCGAGATTAATCGCATGCGAATGAAATGTTATTTTCCAATACTACAGCCATCTGTTTTTACATTTATTACATATCATAGACTGTTCTATGGACAACTAAAATAATAATAATAATAATAAAGCATTCACTTTTAAAAAAAGTCTATGCATGATTATACATAATAAAATGTAATTTAGATGCGCATCTTCACTGGGTTTCCATTTGTTTTCAGAGAAATATTCACTTTAATTCAATGATTATTCTACGCCAAAAAGTCTCCATGCCGATGAAGTAGAATCAATCGTTGCTTGTGGTTGACGCCAACTGTTTGTCGATTTCATTGATGATGGGAATGTAAAAATTGAAGTGAACGATTCTGGTTTAGATACCTGAGGAATCGATTCTATTATTCGACGAGATTCATGCGTTGATGGAGGTTGATGATAACTTGAAGGCATTATGGTCGCAGTAGTATTCCGTTGAATATTCGCAAAAGGACTACGAAAAACAAATATCCATTACACGATCGTTAAAAAATCTATAGAAAAACTTCGCATACTGATGCTGATCAAATATATTAGAATGTGTTCGAGGAGTGTATGACGCTGAATGACCTATCACAAGTTTAATAAAAATCGAAAATGACAATTATGAGAAAAAAAACTTCGCATACTTGGATATATTTGTTCACGTAAGAAACTAATTTGATTATTATGTTGACCGTATGAAGTTTGATATGATAGAGGAGTATGTTGATCTTTTATCGGCGAAACTCTACGAATAAATAATAGAACAATTCTTGTTCTATGTGTAACTTGTTACTCATACCGAGCTGTCATAGGTTGCTGACGATTACCAAAGATATCATGTTCGTTTGAAAATGTTCCCAAATGTTGAGGTCGACTAACTTCAATGACTTCAGACAATGGCCGATGTTGTTGTCTTTCTGTTGTTGGAAACCATGCAAATGATTCCGGACGTTGTTTTGGTGTTGAAGGCTTTCTATGTAAGGCAACTATGACGAACGAAAAAACAACAGTCTCATCAAATATCTAAGGTGAGTGCTATTTCTTTTTATATTCTACTCTCAGTAAATCTATTATATGAAAAATAATCACAATCAAGATCGAGTTCTATCTTTCGAATGCGATGCCTATTTATTCTGTGTACTCACCAGGAGGTCCATTGAAAAATGCATGAAAAACAACAAAATTATTAACTTGATGAATAGGTGCCGAAAGATTATAATGTTTATGAAGAAATGCTAGGCATTTATTCGATGGACGATCAATAGCTAATTCATACGGAGCACATTGTTCGTGCTAAAATCATAGAATAAACCGTAGACAAAAGAAAAAGACTCAAATGAATTTTTTTGAAGCTCACCTCAAGCATCATATCAAATAATCGTTTGCCATAACCCAATCTTTGTTTACTTTCATGAACATAAAAATCTAATACACATAATGGCGTTCGTTCATGTACTTTACCATTTGTATCATAAACATACAAATGTTTCGCACCAACTTTAAGTATACCAATCACAACACCTGAATTACTATATATAATAAAAAATGGTTAAACTAATTTAAAAAAGAAACGATCGTCTACTTGTTATGGTTAGCTTCTTTAATTATATATAACCGTTGGTCGGATACACGAAATTTGCGTGTGGTTGTTACGGCACCGGATAATCCCTGAGCCTATATATTTAAATGCAAAACTTGATTCTTTTTTAATCCGGAGCAATTAATTTACTTTAAACGAAGCTATTCCTATGGCATCAATAACTGTATTTAATTTTTCTGAAGTACTGTAAAAATAACAAGAAATACATATTTACAATCAATATTTGAAATCGCACAAAGATAACATACAATATTCTTGTTGCTTGTCCTTTATTAAGAATACGATAATCTCCGTTGAATATTGTTATTGGATAGGGTAGTATAGAATTAATATCGAATGGAAATTCCATTTATTGGTTACTTGCTACTCAAGCTAATACTACTATAGTAGACGACTACGCGAAGCCATTACAGTAGTCATTATTCTCGACAACATCCTCTCTTGCTTCCTTTTCTGCCCAATGAAATAATAGAAGATGAAATGTGTAATGCATTTTTATTAACTTATCATCAGATGACAACAAACATAGGAATAACAAAGCTCATAAAATTTTGTTTTTATTGTGAACTTATCGTAGCAAAATAAGAGAATCCATAGTTTACAAAATAAATAAATAAATATTTGATAGATCACAAAAAAATTTACTCAACCACTATTCATCACAGGTAAAAATCTTTTCGTGTTTGTTGAATCTAGAGCGCCTTCTTGTGATTCATGTATTGATTTAGTTGGCGTTGTTGTTGTTGTTGTTGTTGTTGTTGTTAATAAATCAAAAATAAAAGTATCAGAGAAAAACTAAAAACATTCATATGAAATAAGAACATATCGAAATAATTAAATTACTGGAATAGCTTCCTGTGCAGTAAGTGTTCCATTCTTATCCCATGACACCGAATCGTTTAGCAGCATTGAATTCTAAATCAAATAGATAAGAATTATCATTTAAGATATTTGTTATACAGAAAAAGAATTTTTCAATTTTTTCGGAATATTACAATAGAAAATCTAGTTTTTTCCATAAGTTTACGCTCAAGATAAAAATATCTTCTCTCCTAGTATTTTCATTTATCAAACTTTTACATTTTTCGAATCGTCGACATTTAGAGAATTATCTTTAATTGCAACAAAACCAAGTTGTATAGCTTGTGTTAATAAATAGAATTTATCTGTTTTCTTATGGCGAATAAAACCATCTGATGTTAATTCACATTCGTCAATAATATTTATTGTATTTCGAAATTCACTTAGGCTATTTATAATATTTGTTAATGATGAAAATAGATTCTCATATTCAATATCTTGTTTTTCATTTACATAACTGATTGGTTTTGATTCGGTTGTTTGTGTTCGTAATTCGCCAATAATTAGACCACGATTAAATCCTTCGTGAATCTCCATGTTTAGATTTAAATATGTATATAAGAAAAATTCGAGATTTAGAATTTTGTTTTCGATTGCTTGCCGACAGGATATCATACATTGCTGAATAGGATCGTAAGCTTGACGAATACTTAGATAAGCGATGAGAGGATATTGTTTTGAACGATATTCAATTTCGATTTCGTCATTTGTTGAGAACTGAATAAAACCTTGACTTGCTGCGATATGCTAAAAACAATCGAATAGAAAGAAAATCGAAGCCGAACAAACTTACTATGGGAACCAATCCGCCATAACTAAAAGAAGATAAGAACATAGAAAATGAAACGAAATAGGAAAATTTCTCTTACCAATTCCGATAATAACCATTAGAAATAATCCCTAGATCCTTTGCGAGTTGTTCATCAATAAGCGTTCGTGTGAATGGATTAAAGACATTTTTTATTTGCGCTTCTTTAGATTGATTTCGATTAAATTTAACGAATTTCTCTGTTTTGTCGAATAGACTAGACATCCTTTATATTCACCACAGAAACTGTATACCGTTATTATTCATTCAGATCTATCCTATTTATTATTTCATCATGTCACTCAATTACGATGCTGTTCCATTCGAAATGAATCCATATCAAACATATATTAACTCAAATTATGGAAATGGATTTTTTCAACAACAATATGTATAAGAAAATATTAGCGAAAAATAAATAAATCCATTTTTTTTCTTCTTTTGTATTTATAGAACGATGGAATTATTTTAACAACGCCCAAACCTGATTGGAATCAAATGATTTTGTCAAATTTTCAAAAGAATTTTTATATAGAATCACCTTTAGTTCAAAATCGATCTGTGGTAAAGATATTCTTTAAATATTTTGACTTATAAATTGAATAGAAAAATCTTTCCGATTTCGATTTACCAGTAATCTACACCAGACAACAGAAAGTCTTGGATTAAAAACTAAATTTTTGCTTTTCGTCGAATAGAATTTTTTACTGTTAAAGTTAATTTTTATTCTATTGTCTTTTCATTAGGATGTCAGAATTCTATGGATTTTATTTGGTGACGCATAATCGAATAGGAATAGAAAATTGCACTATGATAGATTTTATAGGAGTCTAACCATATATAAACTAGTTCTAAATTATACACCGGGTGAACAGATACTTATTTGAATCCTGCCGGAATTATGCTAACAGTTTTTCAATCACGAGAGAATGTGTTAAAAATAAAACCGTAAATTTGCTTCAACTAAAAATGACCGCAAAATATTATTTTGATCTGAAACATGTATTTTCGTTTTCTTCTCTCTAATTATCTTAGACGGATATTCAACAGTTTTTAACCAAAAATCAGATAACAATCGATGGTAATGCACCACGGCCATTACTTAATTTCGATGAAGCTAATTTTCCTGGTAAAAATTTTTTCGATAGAAAAATTTCAAAAACAAAAAGATTTTCAATTCGCTTAGAACCAGTTATGGAAACGATATTTCAATCCGGCTTTCAAAAGCCAACACTCATCCAATCATGTTCTTGGCCAATATTATTATCTGGCCTTGATCTTATTGGTATTGCATTAACCGGTTCAGGAAAAACATTAGCATTTATTTTACCAGCAATTATTCATGCTAGTCATCAAGAATTTGTTCGACCTGGCGAAGGACCTATTGTTCTTATCATGGCACCAACACGTGAATTAGTACAGCAAATTTATTCGGTTGCAAATCAATTTGGAAAATTAGCACAATGTAGAACAACAGTCATTTTTGGTGGAGCACCAAAAGAGTCACAACGAAATGCATTGCTAAGCGGTGAGTATGTGACGCATACAGATTTTTCGTGTTCCCATTGGATAAAAGAGAAATGAAGTTTAAATTTGTTCTACGAATTGCTTTCGAATGTTTTAGGTGTTGAAGTAGTTATTGGTACACCTGGCCGTTTGTTGGATTTTATTCAAGAAGGCGCTTTAAAACTCGATCGTATAACTTTTCTCGTGTTGGATGAAGCCGATCGGTATGTCATTAGAAATAAACAAGATTTCTTTCTTATCAAAATATTCTTTTCTTTAGTATGCTTGACATGGGTTTTGAACCACAAATTCGTCAGATATGCGAGCGTATTCGTGTACGAAGAATGATTTCTAATTTATTTCATAAAATAATTCCTTTTTTCTCGTTTAGTCAGATCGTCAAACAACTATGTTCAGTGCCACGTGGCCAAAAGAAGTTCGAAAATTAGCCGATTCATTTCTGTCAACTAATCGTGTTCATGTGACAATCGGAAATGTTATCTTAGCTGCAAATCCAAGTATTTGTCAGATAATTGAAGTGTGTACAGAATCTCAAAAGCAAAATCGGTAGAGTTCATTTTGAGAATAATTTGAAAGTTTAAATTATTTTTTTATTCTTATAGATTTATAGAAATACTTCAACAAATAATGTCATTACACAATGGTAAAACACTTGTTTTTTGTCAAACGAAACGACGTGTCAATGAACTTTATCTTGTGACAAAACAAATGGGTTTTCCGGTTGTAAGTTCTTCCTGGTTAAAATAATTATTAGAGTAAAGTAGTCTCGATGAAAATTTCCTCTGTCGGATGCCAGTTGAACATAAAATTGAATGGAAAATCGATTTTTTTTGCTTCAGTTTGACACAATATTGCTATTAAATTTTAATGAACAATGAAATCTGATAGAAACATGCTTTTTTGCTTTAGCTTTACATACATGGTGATAAGCAACAATCACAACGCGATTTTACTATGAATGAATTTCGTCGACGACAAAAAATTATTTTAATTGCAACTGATGTTGCTGCACGTGGTATCGATATTCAAGATATTCAATTTGTTATCAACATTGATGTAAGAAATCGAAAAATATCCTTTGTTGTTTTCTTGGATTGATGATAATGCATTATAGTTTCCAAATCAAACTGAAGATTATATTCATCGTATTGGTCGAACAGGACGAAATACAGAAGCATTTGGAACTTCGTATGTTGAATTTTTTCACTATCTACTTTTTTTTTCGTCTAAAATTCTGTTTCTATTAGGTATACTTTTTTTACATCTGACAATGCTAAACAAGCACCTAGTCTTGTTCGAGTTTTACAAGAAGCTGGACAAAATGTTAATCAAGATCTAATGGAAATGGCTCAAGATCAAAGTTCTACAGCTAATTTCAAACATGGTAAGTTCAAGCAAAAAAATATTCTCCTATCGATTTTCTTGTTGTCTAGGATCAAAAAACCGACCGTGTCTTAATCAACAGAGGATGCCATTTCAACCATCGACAAATAACATCAACTCTTACCGTAATTATTTCAACTTTCATTTTGCTTCAATGAATTTATTTTCCTTCGCTTGTTTTAGCTGTTCATCAACCAGTTGAATACATTCCATCGATGCCACAACAACTAAGCTATATTACACCTCTTATGTACAACCCATTTTAGTTCTCTTATTTTTTATACAGTGAATAATAAAGAAACAAACATTCAGATCAAAGAAAGCAAAAATTACAAAAATAGGAAAATGAAAAGTAAATGTTTTTTTTGTTTGTCTATTTAATGATTTTTTTTTTGTATTTGTCTGTATGTTTTTTGCATTCCCTGTTATATAAAATTGGTCTATATAAACATGTTTGAAATAAAAACGAAATGTTCGAACGATTTAGCGCTATTCTATATTGAAAATATTAAATTTAGAAGAAAGAGAGATTTACACACTGGGCGCCCAACCTACATATCTTGTTTAATCACAATATGGCGTGCTGTGATGTTGACATTTTGTGCACATGATAGTAACAGTCAGTGGTGCATATAAAAACAATTTCAGGCTCCTATGTATTTGTTTGAGGTAGTTATGATGATTTCAATATCCACATAGGTCTGATTTTTAGGGATTCTCGGATCTTCAACGGCATTCTGTCAAAACGATTGAACAAGTCAACTGTTTTATTTTTATTTTCCAGAAGACAATTGAGGCTAGTGACTCTCGTGGATCCTTTTTTAGATTTTTTCCTTCTTTTGTTTTGAGGCCTGCATGCAGTTGAAAAATTCTCAAATATGCTAAAAAAATAGCCAGATTTCATTAAAAATACAGCAACTTTTTCTTCATCGGTGATCTTTTACCAAAAAAAGTGTCACGAGAGTCACTAGTTTTAGGGTCTCAGCTTTCAAACAAAAAGAAAATATTTGGCTTTATTCTTTAATTTGATGAAATACTGTTGGAGATGCTTTGTCAGACTACTGTTTTGAGAAATTTCAGAGCAATCTGCTAAAATATTTTTTCGAATGGTAATAAAATATGCAATGATGAATGAGAACCAGCATTTGATTCTGATCAAAACACACTAGTTCGTTTTTCGCACAGGTCAAAAAAACATTTCCAAAAAAACAATTTCTTGCCGTGGTCCCCCGGGAAATGAAAATAAATTTTATTTTTCGATTTCAGCCCAAACTCAGATTATTAGTAGGCTATCGGCATCGCTGATCACAAATATGATATTCATTTTACTTCAAAATGCTTGTGGAAGCGGGATCATAGATGTCGCCTAGCGTCACAATGACGCTTAATTTTTTAGAAATAGAAAACCTGAAAGTTCTATTAATTCTTATCGTACACACCTCAAAGGACACGAAGATACACTTATCTGGTTTTTCATCATTTTGACGGAAATCTCGAATTTTGAAGGGGGCGGGCGGGCTTAACGAAAAATTTTCCATAATTAAATGTTAACTAACCAGTTTCATTGAGCCAAACTAATTTCATATATGTTCTGCTTCAAAGAGAAACAAGCGAGCCTCGTTTACTTCCGGACTATGTCGAAAGTATTCTTATTGAAATTTTTCAATACTTCTATTGACCAGTATAAAGACCGAAGTCCAGAATACTTCACCCGATCAAATTTGAATAAATTCAATATGATTGGTTGATTTCCAGGAGATCTGATTTATTTGAAAAGTCAAAAACAAACAAAAAGAAAACACTAAACGCACGCATATACAAATACAAGCCAACGACGAAAAACTATGTTCTTGCCAAGCCAAATTCGTTATTAACTAAATATTTTTACAAAAAACAATAATTAGAATTTTTACCAATAAACAAATTTACCGTGATATTCAAGTATATTATTTACAGGATAACAAGTTGTTGTTGGTGGTGGTGAAGAAGTTGAAGAACGAAACCATTGTTCATAACCGATATTCGTTCGAACATTTCTTTGTGCACTTGTACCAATCATTAATGCTCGACGATTATTAACAAATCGAAGTGTATTGGTAAAAAGTGTTTGTAAATAAGTACTTAACATTTGTTGATATTTATTAAATATAATCCATGTAACACTTTCAAAACATCCGGGCCATGTTAAACTGCCTAATTGAAAACTAATACAAAGAAAAAATATTTCGCTTTCTCTGTTTACCTTCATACGTCATATATTCCGATGAAAAAGCCATTAATTCTTTTAAATTAAGATTTTTTATTTCAATATCAGCTGGTTTTTGAGTATTATTCAATAATTCAGCATGATGAAAAACTTTACGCAATTGTTCCGACGTATCTCCACCTAACTTAAAATAAAGCCAAAACATTTCTCTGATCATTTTTCATTTGTTGTCTATCCCCTTACCATTAACATACTAGATATAATAACAATTCCCTTGGGTGATGTTTGTGCTTGTGCGTAATCTTTATAAAGATCAATATTATAAGCAACAAGTTGAATCTAAACAAACATTATTTCTTTATCTAAAGAGCTCAATTTCGTTTTTTTACTTCTCCATGAAACGATCGATTATCAATTTGATGTTCACTGCCTCGCGGTATTTTATCTCCTATAATTGGCGGTGCTAAACGAATATAAATTTCTACGGGACGATATTCATATTGCAGTGGACCACCACTTATATGAATCTTTGAATTAGAATCCAACGGAATAATTATATAAAGATTACGTCCATCATTACGAAGTATTCCATGTACCTATAGAAATACAGATTTTGTTTTTGAAGAAACAAAAAAGGGGGTAACATTAATCAAACCAACATTATCACTATTATTGATATTAATCGGTGTTAATTGATGATCAAAAAGTAAATGACGACTTTCAATATTAATCGGCGATTGGAAACGACCTGCTTCGCATATAGGAAAATAAAATCCCCACGCTGCTGGACCACTTACACCATCGGTATAATCCCACCAGTTCCATATTTCACGACGAACAAACGCAGCAGCATGTTCAATATCAACATCTAATCAATTATGAATATTATCGAAATTTCTCACACAACATTTATTTACCTGCAAAAATAACTACTGTATAATGTTCAATAATGATAAATAGTAACAAATATTGTAACATCATTTCTATTACTTGCTCGTCACTGTACTTAGTTAAATCAAACTGATCTATGATCGTGTTCAAACATCTTCATTTCAATTAGCATAGGCAATGAGCGAGACGGCGATGCCGTTGCCACCCTTCCTATCATGTTCTATTTTTCTCTTATCATTGATCGTGTTATTCTTTCTATTCTAACTAACAATATAAATTCTTCGTCAATTTGATGAACTGTCTCTCTTTACACAATTTGTAAACTGACATTTCGTGCCTTTCGGCTATTCTAATTGAATCCATGACCGAGACGATGATACTCATAGTGTATTGACACGACTGATTGATACAGTTGTGTTTGACGTGCATGCTTTGATCTGCTATCATTCTCTCTCTCTCTCTCTCTCTCTCTTTTCTGTCAATGATAATTTGCTCTATAAACTTTGTCAGAAGAACGTTAAAAGTTAAAACATATTTTCTTCGTCGTCGTCTTTTCATCCCTATGATATTTCTCGGTACAATTATCGTTGCAGTTGAAGCATTGTGAACCTATCAATTTGTTTCGTGTAATGAATTAGTCTACTTTTTTATTCTTTTAGTGCTCTTTGACTTTAATGCATTCAAATTTGATGTGCATCGTTACTGATGAAGACATAAAGGGGAAGAGAAGAGAAAAAAAATATGCTAATCAATAGATTCTATTTTAAATTACGATTAACTTATTGTTATCAGTAGATAATTGTTCAATGAGAAATAGCCAATCATCGATGAGTTCAGTATTTCTTTTTTTTTTTTCGTCTTTCTTTAGGTGAAACAGAGAGATTTCGGATAGAACTAAATAATTTTATTTTTCTTAACAAGAAAGTATCGGATGGCGTATAGTAAAGTTTCAACACAGGGTTATAACTATCAATTGTTAATATTCGCATTGTCCGATTGTGTATGCAGAAGAGATGGTTTATTTTCTAAACCATTACCAATTGACAGTCACTCGTCCTTTATGAATTTTTAGAATATTTTTTCCATAATTTTGTGTTTGCTGGTCAATGCGATTCTCATGAAGACTAAGTGTTGTTAATGTCTGTATAAAATGAAAAGTTTATACGATAAAAACAAAACGAACGAGTTGTTTTCTTACTGTATTTTGTTTGAGAACATCAATGAACTGCTTTGCACTATCGTTGCCAATTCGATTACGCGAAAGGAGAAGTGTATGTAAATCCTGAAGGGAAAATAGACTGTGAAAAAAAGAAGACGAGAGAAAGATCAAAGAACTACATTGTTTGCTTGAAGAGTCTGAACGAAACTTTGCGCACCCAAATCACCAATATGATTCCAATAGAGATTGAGTGTAGTCAATGCCTGTGTGTAATAAGCATTGTAGGATAGAGATTTTGGACAACAAACAAATGAACAGTACTTTATTTTGTGTGAGAGCATCGGCAAGATATTGTGCTCCTTGATCGGCAATAAGATTTTGGGAAAGATGAAGAGTCTCCAATGTCTGCATGAATAAAGAAATAGAAAGTAAAAAAAAAGCTTAGAAAAACAAATATGATAAGATTACATGATTTTGTCTTAGAGCATTCGCGAGATATTGTGCTCCTTGGTCCCGGATTTGATTTTGAGAAAGATGAATGACAGTGAGTGTCTGTGAGAAATAAAAGAAATATATAAGAAAACAGATGAAATTGATAAGTATTTATAATACTTGATTTTGTTGAAGCATATTAGACAAAGATTGAATTCCTTGATCAGTAATTATATTTTGAGAGAGATCAAGTTTAGTTAATGTCTAACGAAAATTAGGATTTATACGATGAAAATAAGAATGATAAATGTTAACTACTTTGTTGTATGTAAGCGCTTCAGCTAAATATTGCATTCCGTAATCGTTTATTTGATTTTTATGTAAATCAAGCGATTTTAGTGTCTATTTATCAAGAGAAATATTTCACAACGAAGACAATAATGTCTTTTATTACTTTATTTTGTCTGAGAGCATCAGCTAGATATTCTATTCCTTGATCGTCGATTTTGCATTGTGAGAGGTCAAGTTTAGTAACTACCTGTACGACAAAAACAAAATTGTTGAATATAATTCTGTAGTTTTCAAATAATAAACATGCTCGAACTGCTTATAACAAGTACAATCAGTGATTTATCTACTGAAGTCGGCAGTGTCTATTCACGAGAGAACATATCTAACTGATAAATCGTTGTTTCGGATCGGACTTCATGCATGTGGTCGACCCTATTGAGGTATGAAAAACTCCAAAAGGACAAATACCCATAGGTTTTTGTCGCGAATTATAGGCATTTTACCGGAATTTCGTCCATAGGACAGCTCTACTTATGAGTCGAACCTTTGGAAAAATTTCAGCTCAAAAAATGCTTTCTTCTCGTGGATATGTTCCCTCGTGAGATGAACATCGGTCAGGACAGGTTAGAGTAGAAAATCTTGTCCTGTGCTCAAAACGAGTGTTAAATCCTTTTCAATCATAGAATAACAAGGCATATAATCAGACCAAAGTTAGCTACGGTAGCGTAAATTTACAGGGATAAAAAAAAGAAAATACTTTCATAATTGTCAACATGCTCGACTCTCATTTTTCTCTAACGAACTAAACTGCATTTTGAAAAAGAACTACGAATGAGCAACACAATTTCAAAAACGCTTTCTTTTTCTCTTACGGTGTTTTCTTTTAACGCATCAGCTACTATTTTCATGTCTTGATCCGTTAAATCGCGTTTTTCAAACGGCCATTCTTCTTTTCTTTGATAATCAACTATTAAGCTTTCGAGGCGTTGATTGGAATATTCAATGTTTCTATTCGTTGGTGTTAAACCTTCAATAAACTTTCCACATTCGAGAATTTTCTCTCTTGCAATTTGTATTTGATCGATGCCTTCTATATGATAATTATGCGTAGCTGGCAATCGTAATCCTAGTAAAATTCGTTTTATTCGATCAGTATAATCAATAAATCCTTGTCGAGCGCGTATTATTTTCATTGGATCTCGACTTGATTGAAGTATGTCTAATGTGGTCTTTTGATTTTCTAAATATTCTAATTCATTTTCTAGTCGAATTCTGAAATCTTCCATAAGTTGATTATTGTCTCGATCAATAGTTTCGATTTTTCTTGATAATTCTTCTTCGTGTTGTTCAAGAATTTGTCTAAGGAATTTCATCGAACTAACAATCATATCGATTTTTTCTTGATGTTCATCGTTGATTTTCGTTATCGAAGTATTGGTTTCCTTCAAATTACTCTTTAACAATACTTCAATTTTAGATAAATCATCATTGACCTGAAAACAAAAAATTGGAAATTACTCAAAAAATCACCATTTCGAAAATTTCTACCTTCTTCTGCAAATCATCAGCTATTCGACGAATTAACGTATACGGATGATCTTGATGTGCATCCAATATGCAATCACTACAAACATATGTGTTGCATTTCAGACACCAATATTTTAGTTTTTCATCTGAATGACTTTTGCAAGGCACATATTCAGCTAGTTTTTCTTTCAACGGCACTATATGATGATTTTCTAATGCAGGCATTTCATGAATCTCTCGACAGCATCTTGCACAATAACTTCTAATACAATTACTGCACCAACGTTCAGATACTATCGAATCGCAATTCGAACATGGAATCGTACCGTCAGTTAAGGCTATAAAACATCAGTAGAAAAATCGACCAATAACCTAATGTATTTACCTATAGATTCGATCATATCACAAGCAGTTCGATTTACTGCTAATTCGTCAATAAAATTTTTCGATACTTTAGCTCCATCGCGTTGAGGACATTCAAAATAATTTGAATGGATCGACACACTTTCTCGAATACACCGAAGACAGTATGTATGCGAACAACTTAATATACGTGGATCGTTAAATCTTCGGTGACAAATACCGCAATTAATTAATCTTTCAATCGCTGTCATTCTATAAAGTTGAAGTCAACTATGATCTAAAATGCATTAATTCATCGAGTCTATTTTTTTCGAAATATTTCAAAAAAAAAATTGGCTTTAACTTCTCGTAAGAGAAAGAATGTTAGAAATGTAACACAATGAGTATGACTTTGATATACGCGAAGATAAGACAAGCTGTCTGTAGAAAAGCCGCAGAATAAGTAGTGATGCTTTGGTTTGCGTTAAATATTTGCTCTTACATCTTTATCTTCGATGTTTTGATTACCTTCATCAATTTAGGTAAACAACAACATCTTTTTTTTTTATTTTAGCTTCAAAAAAGTGTTCGCTTATCGTTTATGAAATATGCTTTGCGCAGTTATTTGCGGTGAAATCAGGAAAATAATAACACTTCGACTTATGTCGCCAATTCTCATCATAGAATGAATTTATAATAAGTAGATATTTCTATTTTCTGCCAGCCAATGAGATTGAAACGGTGCCGTTTTCTTAGCATGCTACCTATTTTCAATGGTCGCCAATATGAATTCAGTCCGAAAGAAAAGTAAAGAAACACGTCATAGTTTATTATTTACTGAAAAATGTATCAAACGAATATGGGTGACAATAAAATAACAGAAGCAAACGATATTTCTCGTCGCATAAATGGAAAAAGAAAGTCACTTTTTTTGAAGTAGAAACAAAAGTTTCGTTTCTTTAACAGTAATATTCACTTTATCATTTGTACATCGACATATCTAACATGTTGCTTATCGTTGACAAATAATATTACATCGACGTGGATTTTTTGGTTACACTTCTCGTAACAAGTTCACGAGTTGTTGTCAAATCAGCATAAGTTTTCTTATATATCAACTGAAAATTTCCTATCGATGCCGATTTATAATAAAGATGATTAGCATCAACATCTATTTTAAGATGAAGAACCGTTGATGTACTTATTATATGAACAATACGTGTCATTGAGTCAATCTGATTATAACCATCTGTATCAAGACGAACAGTTGACCAGGTTAATAATTTGAAGCGAGCATTATTGCTTTGGCCGCCTGGATGAGGTAATGCTTTAGAGAGAGAAAAAGAGATTATACTTCAAGAAGAAAAATAAATCTAGAGAACTTTTCTTTACCGATATAATGGGCTAAGTCAGAACTTGGTCGTACAACGCACATTCGTCGTTGAATAAATCGTAATGCTAAGTCATCATCTTCTCCGCCCCAACCCCAAAATAAATTTGAAAAACCATTTACTCGTCTATACATATCAAATGTTAAAACAAGTGCTCCGCCGATTAGAAATTCATAAAAACGTGAATAGCCACGTGTACTGTTCAATTTTCGAATTCGTAATGTTGTATGTTTAGGATGTTTAGAGTCACACGAATAGAAGTTTCCATCATTTTCAGGTATTAAATCAACGTCATGCAATATAAAACATGTGATATTTAATTTTTCTTGGTTTTCTTGAATATAACGAATACCTGCATTATATAATCGGCCTTTATTAAATCGAGAATTGATTGGATAAACCTTTAACAATGAAAATTATATACTAAAAGTGTTTCTTTCTATAAAATAAAACGTATCGCTATTTTTACTGAATAGATTGATAATTCATCTATCGAAGAAAAATTTAGATATCACTTCCCCTATCCGTTGTGTAGTTTTAAGCGAAGAAAGACAAATATATTAAAATAGCTTCATAAACAGATATGCAGGAAAACGTATCGGGAAAGCTCTTTCTTTAACTTTTACTGTAAAAATCTGCCTACGATTGTTTTTATTATGTACTACTTACTTGTTCAATAATGACAATCAAATATGTAAGAAGTTGTCGTCGAGCAAAAGCATGCATATTCAAGAGAAATGCTTTAGCATTGTAATCTCGACCTTGCAATGGTACTAATATAACTGTTCGTTGTGCTGATGTAACTCCGATAGGAGACCACATTCCATTCTCATATTTATATGGTATATTTTCAAATTGTATATTCGAAGCGAATGATATTTGTCTCATTTCACGTTGATTTTTATTTAATTTTCTTTTATAAAAATTTTCTACATCTTCATATGTAATATTTGTATATGGTATAACATATGGAAATTCTCCACGCAGATACTGAGAATACTTTGGATGAAGCCGAGATAAATCTTTGTTTGGTTCATCAAATTTATAGGCATTACAAGAGATTGATGTGCGATAAGCAAATTCACGATACGGAATCAGTAAATAACGTGAAGGAATCGATGATGATGGTACTGATGAATCTTGTTCTAATCCATGGCAATTGTTTGGTTTAAAAATTTCTTGTTTTATAAAAGTAAACGTTGTTAAAATAATAAAACTAATTAAGAGAATTCTGAATAATATTGAAAATCGACAACAATGAATTTTTCGCATTATCTAAAATGAGAAATAAAAAAATCTTTTTGTATTGAATAAAATACGAGAACATATGATGAATATCATATATGTATTTTTTTTTTGACAATGAATGCAACAAAATATCATTATTCGAGTACCTAAAGTAGTAATCGCTTATTCTTATTCTCTTAAGATAAATGAAAGAGAATTTTTAAAACAAATCACCCACAAATTTGAACGCTATTGAGACGAGAACAGAACAGTATTGTAGTTTGTTCAAGTGTTAATAAGCCCGAATTGATAAAAAGAAAACAAGAGAAAATGAATGAATCTTTGTTGAATTCTGTTGATTTAAAAGAACAAGAACGAGTACTTAGACAAACGCTTTATGTTCACGCTCATCAAGCGTGAAAACAAAAGATATAATCGGATTGTAATATATCTCAACCACGATCATGCATAGTTCGTCTTTATCATGAAAAAAAGATTATTTTAATTGACAAACAAGTTGCCTGCAAATCCAAATCTTGTTTAATTATGAGTTGATTTCGAAGATGAAAGACAGAAAAGTCAAAAAGAATGCTTTGGTTGTCGATATTACATTTACAAAAAGTAATAAATGCAAACTATCAAAATTCAAATCATATTTAGAGGCGTATCGATTTCATACGAAACATAATATTGTAACAATGTGCATTACATGAGTAAAAGTTAAAGCATTGGACATAGTCGACGGGGACGACTGATTTTCTGTCCTGTTTCAATAGTAGATATTTACTGTCTAATTCTTAGGAGTTAAATGTTTGTCGGTGAGATTCTAGCTACTTCCTCATTCAGTCGCTACCCAATAGATATATTTACTTGGCTTTCTTCTTCTTCTTTTTCTTCATCGTTTGATTTGCGATTATCAGATATCATGTAAAATATTCATAGTTTGTCTGCTCCTTCTCAAGCATGTATTTGACTATTCTTTAGAGATTATTTTCGATAAATATTAGTTTCCATTATTAAATTTGAATACAATGATGATGATAATTCTTTTTTTTTACGAGTAAAAACAAACTAAAAATTTAACTCTTTCGCTAGTTCATTTGAACACTTACCTGAATCGCTCCTAAGGGCTCACGAAGTCGTCAGTTATTGCATAATAAAAAAAGCATTTGAAGCAAACTATTTTGAAAAATAGCTCATTCGATACAGAAAATTGTTTTCTACACAGTGGTATCGTTTAAAATTTTAAATATTTCGATAGAATCTTGAAAACCTCGAAATACCTGAGCCCCTATCGGTGTTCTAGAAAGCTATAGATTTTTTGGGTTTAAATGAATAGAAACTTGACTCAAAATATATCATCATCAGATAGAGAGAAAAAAACTGCATCGAGTGACATTCTTCACTTGCTAAAGTTATAGAACAAATCAAAAAATAATTGCTAATAACTATCAGTGTTTTCATTGATTCTACATTAATCGTAATTTTTCAGTCACAAAATAAGCTCAAAAATACTTTTAAAGAAGATATGGTTGTCGAGAATTGAATTCTGTTCAAAATGAAGTACTTGAACTCACGGTAATTACTTCTCTTTGAGTTGTTACGGCCCTATCTTCCCATGTCGTGACAATCGCCGCGATTTTGGTGATATTGAAAAAAATCGGCGTAAAGCACTGATTAATCATATTTCACAGAACACACTGTAAATAAAAAGAGTAGAATAATAAACCCTTGCCCTTTCTACAAATCATGCTAAACCCTTGAAGGGGTTTTGAAACGAAGGGTATATGAAAAAAAGATGATACAAGAAAAAAAGGGTTTATTAATCTGAGATTTAGGGAGAAGGGTATATGATTTTATCTCCAAAGGTATTTTAATATGCGGTTTCGAGAAAAGGGTTTATTACTTTCGTATTGTTAGCTCTAATATGTATAGAATGAAAGGAAGATATAAGGAATGAAAGAGAGATATATAGAGAGCGAAAGAGGCAAGCAGTGTCACTGATGTTATGTGACTGAACGAAGAAAAAGGTGACCTTCATGGGGATCGAACCCATACCTTCTGCTATCCGGGCAGACCAGTTAGACTAGAAGAACGTATTAATCTTCGTTTAGCGTTAGTGTGATCCATCACTAACGCTAACACGTACTAGGAGTATTTTATTCTACGGTTTCAATAAAAGGGTTTATTACTTTCTTAAAAGGGTATTTTATTCTACGGTAAGGGATTTATTGTTCTACTCCATCATCAAAAGGTTTTTTATTCTTCGTTCAAAGGATCACACTTTTTCAACTTATATATATATATATCATGAAAATTTTTCACAGGGCACTTCAAACAGTTTCATGTAATAAACATGTTAATCCAATCATTTTCTCACAATGCAGCCATTCATGCATCGATGCACTTTCCATCTTGTACCTGTTTCGTAAAACATAACGGTATGATAAAGAGGCGCTAATTTCTCTAATAAATTTTGAATCATTTCGAGCTAAACTTCAATCCGCACATTATTTAAAAATCAAAATCAGATGGCTTCACGTGAGCAACTTCATACAAAAACTTTGAGTTAAATCAATCTGAAAGATATTATGGTGACTGAGGATTTATTCCAAACTCGCTGTAGTATTCAGAAAAAAAAGTTAATTTTTGCATCCATCCAAAATAACAAATTAAAGTAGGCATTTTGCTTCGATATATTTATATTCTTCCTTTACTTGGTTGAAAATAAGCTCAAAATAATGTAAGTAATAACATTTCAAAAATAATTTCAGCTTGTCTTTAATTTAGGTCAGTCGCCACAGCTAGTGGAAAATAAGGGTGATTTACTTAATAATATTTTCAATCATTGGATTTTTTCAATAAGAAGAAATCGAAAATTTGAAACGAAAAGTCATTTCGAATTCAATCTGTAGTTGTTTATCTAGTTCTTATATAATAAAATAAATCAATAATTAATGTCTAGAGCTTTCGACTCAATACCAAGGAGTCATTTTCAATATAAATAGTTGATTTCATATTGTTAAATATGTTGCTGAGTTCATCTAAATGACTCCTTGGTATTGAGTCGAAGCTCTAGGCATTAATTATTGATTTATTTTATTATATAAGAACTAGATAAACAACTACAAATTGAATTCGAAATGACTTTTCGTTTTAAATTTTCGATTTCTTCTTGTGATTTACTTATATATTTATATCTTTTCTTTTATTTACTTCCATTAAAAATTCAAAATGAAAACAGAAGTATTAAAACTTTCTCTGTGACTATTTCCTTCTTTTTATTTCGGTCCATTGATACAATGTATTCAAAGTGAATATATCGTTTTACATGTGTCTTTATAAATCTTATATTTTTCTACCTTCAGTTCAATATCAAACAAATAATGTAAGTATAAAAATATTTTATAAATAGCTATTCCTTTTGTTCTATTTAAATTCGTCGAAACTATACATGAGAAAGAGCTATAAGATCGATTTCTGACATATGGAACAACCCAGTCAGACAAGCACCTTGAAAAATGCGTTACAACGAATACATATTTTGACGCTTTCATGTTGTAAGACGTTAAAACATCTTAAAATGTCTTAAAAGCGCCGTATTTATGATTTCATGCATTTTGCATCTACATCTTCTAATAGAATTTCTTACCACCCGCACTCTGTACACCTCTCCAGACAAATATGTGCTATTTTAACACCTGTACTTATAAAGATTTAAAAAATTGATCAACAATTTTATAAAAGTACTAGAAATATATACGTTATAGATTTCTAGAAAAATAAGAATATGTTAGTAAATTTTTGAAAAAATGGAGCAAAACGTTTTTAAATCTTTTTAAAAATCTTTTTGAGGAAATATATTTCAAAAACAAATTTTTCCTAATTTATTCAAATATGTAAAAAAAATAATTTTTTAAATGCAAAATATTTTTTTATATCTTTTTATGACAATTAAAAATGTAATAACAATTGTTCCGCTTAACTTTATATCATCTTCAGTTTCATATAAAATTTCGTTCGATTTAAGTAGCATTTCTTACTTCATGTTGTTATCGTACAACTGACCGAATCGATAACATCTTGGACCATCAACCAACACATCTCATGATCGAATCTAGGACCACTCAATAAGTTCCAAAAGCTTTAACTACAATCTGGTAGATAAACTACAAGAGGAAAACATTGTGAAACACATTGCAAACTCAATCGGAATAGAATCGTAGGATCCTCATTTATTTGGATTCATTTTTTCTGAAAGTTTATTAACGGGTTAAAACGCGTTACACTTTTGAACGCTAGAAAACGCAATATTAAGTCTTACCCAGTCAGACAAGCAACGAAAAATAACGCGTAAAAGCGAATAAAAACCGCACATTTTTGTGCTTTTAGTTTCGTTAAAAATTCTACTCATTTTCACGCGTTATTTTGTTGAAATAAGTGACTTGATAGAGGAAAAACAGCTATAATCCGTACAGTTACATTGCTAATGAATTATCTATATAGTTTTAAAAAAAACGAGTGTACGAATTGTAGCTGCTTTTCCTATATCAAGTCACTTATTTTAAAAAAATAACATGTGAAAATGCGTAGAATTTTTAACGAAAATAAAATCGCAAAAATGTGCGGTTTTTATTCGTTATTTTTCGTTGCTTGTCTGACTGGGTAGCGGAAAAAAATCCAAAGAATGTGCGGTTTTTCCGATCTTTTATCCGTTCAAATTTTAACCTGTCTTAATGCTTTTTTTTAGGGCGCTTGTCTCACTGGATTTCCAGTCAGATAAGTAACGAAAAAAATCGAGGTTTTTATGCGTAAAAACCTCACATTCTAACGCGTTTGAAATTTTTTTTATTAAAAACAAGTTTAAAAGCATTAACATGTATCGATTCCTTTTTTTTCTCGCAAAAGTATTTTTAACGCGTTAAAATGTGCGCTTTTAACGCATAAAAACGTCGGTTTTTTCGTTACTTGTCTGGCTGGGTGACGGAAAAAATCCAAAGAATGTGCGGTTTTTCCGATCTTTTATCCGTTCAAATTTTAACGTG